TCTCTCTCTCTCTCTCTCTCTCTCTCTCTCTCTATTTCTCTCTCACACATTCTTTCCATCTCTCTCTTTCTCACTGTTTCCATATCTCTCTCCTTCTCTCTCTCTCTCTCTCTCACTCACTCTGTTCATATATTTTTCTCTCTCTCTGTCTCATTCTTTCTATATCTCTCTCGCCCTTCCGATCTCTCTCTCCGTTTCTCTATCTATATCTCGATCTCCGTGCTCGCTCCGTCTTCCTCCTGTCAGGTTTATTTGCGAAACGCCGAAAGAGTGGGGCCCCCGTCCGCGCGTATCCCGAACACTTGGCTTTTAATTATTCTATTTTACTTCCACTCTCGCCGTTTTGTTCTTTTCTGTTTACGTGGCCCCGGCTCTTCATTGTTTCCCCGGCCGCCGGTGGCCTTTAATGAAAGACGGCCAAAGAGAGAAGAGTGGTCGGCCGGTTTTTTAACCTTTTCCCACTGGTAACCGTGCTGTTTCGTCGCATTAATCAGACTCAGAGGTCTGATAAGTTTTAATTAATATCCCATTTCAAGTGTGTATGATAAATCGATCCGATGTACTTACATACTTTGCTTTACTTTACCTGGCTGGATTTAATCATCAGCGAGCATTAACAGGCGACAGTGTATTGACGGAGGTCAAGGAGGTTTTTTTCTCTTTTTATTCGAATAGATATATGTAATTTCAATTCATACTCCTCGTTGCTTTATCGATGTTCTCTCGTTTTTTCTCTTTTTTTTTCTTCTCTCTCTTTGCGATAATTCTACAGTTGCGATAGTTCCGTTGTAATTGTCAGATTGAACGATTACACGGAATATTCGAGATTTATCTTCTTATTCAAGAATTTACTAAGCCTACCAGGTAAACAATGGGTAATTGAAGTTTTATCGATATACCTGTGTAAGATATCGATTATCATCGTTCGAATTATTATTCTATTAGTATCTTTTTCTCAAATCTGTCGTCGATCTGTGATTAACAGATTCAGCTAGAATTAATCATCCGTGTTATTTTCAATGGTTTGTTATTTTCGGTAGTGCAAGAGAAATAATCCATCGTTTTCCAGATTTTATTTTGAATTTGAATATTTAATTCGAGCATTTAAATTTGCATTCAAACGTTACGAATGTAAAGTGTTTTGTAAGTAGATGATTATTTTTAAAAGGATCGATACCAAATTCTACTTCCTTTCGATCGAAACTAATTAAAATTTCTGTTCCGTAACGATGCATTAAATTCATTATTACGTATTCGCCTTACGGAGGTGACAATGCATGTAATCACATGCGATACTCTAATAATCTAAATGCATTTCGATTACCTAACAACTGTTATGATATCATTCCCGCACTGATGAATTAAAACGATGGATATCTCTAGATTATTCCTCATTTATCGTTCTAATTTAGATAGCCAAGTATGACTGCGATAATGACAAACGTATAATCTACAATATTCCCCTTCATTCATAATAACTTAAGAAAAGAAAAATTCTAACAAATTATTTATAAACATTCCTCTTCAAATCTTACATATGTTTAGGCCGAACGTAGACAAGGACAGCGAATAAAAGATAAGGATGAAACCTGAGTCGAGGCAACCAAGCGATTTAAATATCAACTTTTTTAATTTTACGTTTTTTTAATCCGAAATTTTTCTTAACATATTGATGAGATTTTTCTGATAAAAATGACATCAAACACGGCATAATTTGAACAACATTTACTTATTAACACGTTCACTATCTGGTATGACAGTGAATAAGTAAATGTTGTTCAAATTATGTCGTGTTTGATATCATTTTCATCAGAAAAATCTCACCAACATGTTAAAAAAAATTTCAGATGAAAAAAGGTAAAATTAAAGAAATTATATTTTTCTATTATGAATTGTCGAGCCGTGAAATCTCGTAAAAGAAACCGAGTGGTGTAGCGTTACACGCCTGACTGACAGCGAGCGAGATAACATAGGCGCAGCAATGACGCAGCCTAGGCATAGGACCATCTGTACTGACACTTGTAGAATCCAAACTGACTGACACTTGTAGAGAATTTACTGTATCCCTGTATTATTAAATCACCGAGTGTAACGAAATATTGTCAAATAATTCTCCGACCGAAATCTTCCTGAAACGAGAAAGAAAATGAAAAAAAAAATGATCATTACACCACTTCTTAATTTTCCAAGTCAACAATTATTTTCTCCCTCGTTTCTTACCTTTTTTTTTCTCTTATCATTTTTATCACGTTCGTTCCAACCCTTTTGCGTCGTTTAACGTTTATCCCACCGCGTCGTTGGCTCTGTTTCCAGGAGCTTTTTTAATTCCGTTCGTCCTAATGCTGATAACCATGGGATTGCCGATATTCTTTCTGGAACTCGCGGTTGGACAGTATTCCGGGCTTGGCCCTAACGAGGCGTTCACACGTATGGCGCCAGCACTTGAGGGCCTCGGTTATTGCACCCTCGTCGTCATTTTGTTCGTAATAGTGTACTACATGGTGATCGTAGCCTGGACACTCTTCTACACGTTCGTCTCGTTCGTGCCTAAGCTCAGTTGGGCTTACTGCGACAACGATTTCAACACGAACAGTAAGTACCAAACGATGAAATAACAAACGATACACACTTCTTGCCCTCTCTCTGCCTTGTAAATTTTAGAAAACGCACTTTCCACTTCCACCCTCCCTCGACTACGCTCCACTTGTTCGACTTGTTATTTAGCGTAACGTAGCGTAACCGCGTCGAACGTGCATTTTATCGCCGCTGTAAAGCCCGAAGAGGTCGTAGAAACGTTTTAAACGATCGAATGACGAAGGGCTCGTCGTTTCTTCGAAATTCAATTTCTCCACTTCGCAGAACGGAAATGCCCAGAAAATATTCCTCCTCGTCCTTCGCTCCTTGTAATATCTTATACTAATAATCATTTTCAAATTGGTGCTGTTTTTTTTTTTTTTGTTAATACAAAGCTTTTCTTATCATTTACGTAAAAAATTTCGCGGAGAAAAATTTAGTAGTAAAGAAGTTCTATCAAGTTGTGCTTGTTAGTCCATATTTGTATACAGGGTGTCCCAATTTTTCCCCTATCAAACTTTCTCTTTACTTTCTTCTCGTGCTTTCGATAAATAAAGTAGTCTTCATTTTTTTCTATTTATGTAACGATTCGCGTATTGGTCTTTCATCAGAGCTGACGTGGAATGTATAGAGTGTCCCAAGTTTCTCTGATCAAACTTTGCCCTTATTTTCTATGGGTACAAGAAAAAAATGTTCTCTCGGAGGCAAAATTTGGACATCGAGTATATAATGTACATACTTGTAGCCGTAAGCTTTGCATTTTTATTGTTGTCGAAATAATAAGCAGAGGACGCTCGAAACCGGAAGTCCTCTGCAGAATGAGCTATCTCCTAAGTTTCTTCGGTCATTTTCTATTTTCTATGGATACAAGAAAAAAATGAAAATTTGGACACTCAGTATGTAATGTATATACTTGCAGCCAGAAGCTTTTCACGCTTATTGTTGTTGAAATAATAAGGGGAGGACGCTCGAAACCGGGAATCCGCTGCAGAATGAGCTATCTTTCTAAAATAAACACGAAGTGAACGACAAAGCGGTAGTGTAATTAGTGGGTGGCCTCTCTACGATCGTAACAAAGTACCTCTGCGAATATAGACACACACACACACACGCACACACGTGTGTATACATAGAGACATGTGGACGTACGGGATGCTATCACGTGTAATATCGAACCATACGCTGTCAGCTCTACGACGCATCGTATTCTGTAAACGACAGCTATTTCGTTTCAATCAGCGATAGCCTTTAGAAGGCTTTGATGTTGCTTCCTAATTATCGCGTAACCAGGGCAACGATATTGGATATGCGCCATAAAGCCGCGTAACGTCAACTCGTACAGATTGTTACAGCGGCCTGCAAGAGATCCAGTGTCAAACGAATGATTCCAAAATGATATTTTACAACAAGACCTGCACGCCGGCCAATCTGGTATGCGAGAGCCTTGGTTTTCATCAGGGCGGCAATGTCACGCATTGCTTTCACGAAGACGGAGCTAAGCCTCTTCAACAGCTTTACACGCGGGTCCTGTCTTCCGAGGAATATTTCAAGTATGCCGGTGTATATCGTGAACCGTATACAGTACTAGTTTTCTTTCGTTGTCCCGTCAATGGTAATTGCGATTGCCGCTAATTTTGCATTCTTCTTTTTGGTGGTAGTTTGTTTTGTATTTTTTTTTACACACGTTGTGTTGGGGGTGCAAATTAATTTGGGGTAATTTTTGACGAAGTTTAATGTTTATGTACGAAAAATTAAATATGATTTTAATTTGAAACTAATCTCATGCAAAATTAACTTAAAATTAATCTCTTAACATTAAAAATAATCTCAATAATCTCTAAGTAATTTCAAAATAGTCTCAATAATTTCTAAATAATTTCCAAATAATCTCTAGGTAATAATTTCTATTTTTAACCATTTTTTTCTATTTATTTTGCAATTGACGAATTCCCTCTCTGAAAAATATGGCGATTTTGAGTTGATAAAGTTCTCAAGATTTTTTTGGAAAAAGGCACCGAAGTAATTTGTAGAAAGAATGTGTTTGTAGGAATAATATTTAGTAGTTTTCTTTTATACTTTTATTTACTTTTTCTTTTTTACTCTTAGTTTGGTTTTCTGTCGAAGCAATATTGCAACGAGAAAATTTCAGCTATTTTTACTTTGCAGACTGAAAAGTGTATTTTCACGAATATATTTTTTCGCCAATTTCCCATTACATAAGAAAATGAAAGCGGTCCAGTGACTTCGTATAAGGTAACCTTGTGGCAACTCAAAGTTATAGAATGGAGTGTCAGAGTGATCATTGTATTGGACACGGAGGAGCAATTTTATGGGCAAGGACATCTCCGAATCTAGCACATGTCATATAACTCTTTTACGGAGTAGGTAACATCGAAGATGCTGTACAGATTGCTGCAATCGTTTCAGAGAATATGAAACGACGTACCAAAGCAGTTTATTGAAACAATCAATTATCTTTCGTTCTCAAAAATTGACACAAGGTTACTTTCAATTTTCTTACGATCTTCATTCTCATTTTATATAGTTCTATTTACAAGCTACGAGCAAGCTTTCTTCAGTATTATTTTATGGAAATATTTTCACTGCTAAGTTTAAACAAAATTTTTTAAAAATTTCGAGTCACTTCCACTGTCAAATTTTTATTCGATTAAAATAAAATTTGAAAAATTTCAAGCCTGCTGTGTCAATAATTATTCGATAAACTTAATTTCAAAGGGACAAATAAATTTCTTCAGTTATGATTAGTGAAATTGAACTACACTTCACAGAAAATTAAAGAGCACAATATTTAATGTTTTAAGTACTGTGCATAGAAATCTTCATTTGTTATTAAAACGATCGAACAATATTTTCCAAGAAACTGTCAAATTAAATTAAACTCACAGTCGCTTGTAAGTTCCAAAATTTCCATTTGAAATGATCCGTTTCGCGCCGCGGACGTTTTTCGCTCAGATGACGAAAGCCAGCTTCCGTTCGTCTCTATGCACTCTATAAGCAAGAAAATCGCGAAGAAAGGTAAAACATGTAATCGTGATCGGATATTATCGTTGATCGAATCCAGTGACTACGTATTGGGTCTGCACGGAGCCACGTGGGAACATTTCGGAGGCATAAGGTGGGAATTGTTAGGATGCCTCACCCTCGCCTGGATAATCTGCTTCCTGTGCCTGATGCGTGGTGTCCAGTCCATCGGGAAGGTCGTCTACTTCACTGCCCTTTTCCCTTACGTCATGCTTACCGTGCTATTGATACGAGGTAAGAGAAGCCAGAGAAACGCTTTTCGTGTAATAGAAAAGATTAAGAGACAGCTTCTTTCTTTTTTTCTTTGCAATTGCTCGCGATACAGGAAACCAGCGGTATACCTGAGTTACCTGTTTGAAAAGTTCCTAGAATCGAATGGAAAGAGACAGCTTATGTCGTTCTGAGATTATTTTTATTTTTCGATGTAATCCTCTTTAATATCGATACTCTTGGATCGACGATGTCTCGAAGATATTGTGTCGGGTTATTCTACGAGTAATTCGGTTTATCTGAGCGCTGAGAGACGAAAACCTTGTCCACCTGGAGTATTTCCTTTTAGATTTTTGTTAGACGAAGAAAAGTAGCACAGTGAAAAGAAATTTGTAGTATAACGAATTAATCATACTTCAAAGCAAATGGACATTTTTAAATGTACCATTAATTCAGATTCGTTGCAAACGAGTCATTTTTTTTTAAATATTCTATTAATTTCGACTCGTTGTAAGAGACTTGTTTTTCGATGATTTTTGAATGTACCATTAATACCGAATCGTTGGGAAATACTTATTTTTCAATTATCGAGCAGGTTGATTAAGGACGCGATAAATAGCTGTTGGCGATTTGGAGGGAAATATTACAGTTAATAAATCGCCAATGAATTGGAAACATACTAATTGTTAATATTCACAGGCGGCAAAATAACATCCGTAGTCACCTCAGTTTTTCGTTCATTCATACATGAAAATTCATAATTGAAATTCTTCCATACGATAATTATCAATTTATGAATATTGATACGCGACGATATTAAACCGGATATCTTTATGCGACATTAAATTTGCAACATGAATCAGAAGTCGAAATCGAAAAACGTGATATTCTCTGCCGTTCGATTATATGTATGTGTGTATATATATACATATAGAAAAATATAGGTTTTTAATTAAAGGGCGCATGAACTCGTATATTAACGGTTTTAAATTGACGCGCCGAAACGTAAATCACTTGTAATAGGTTCTCGGCTAATGTTATCATCCGTACAACTAAATTTGTAACGAAACATTACCTACCATTATTTATGCCGATCTCTAATTAATTCGAGTACACCGGCCGAGTCTGAAATTCGTTGTCGAGCAGCCTCTCCTCCACAACGAACACACGCCATCCGCCAATGTAATTCACGTGTTCGTAGTAGATCATTTTACCGTATTTATGACAGGCTGCATCGCATAGCCTCTGAAGGAACACCGAATTTAACCGTATAATTCTATCCAAGCCATTTCAGATTTAACCATACGGTAGCCTGTATCGATGCTATGAATACCGTGACTTAGAATTTTTCACCTTATTTACGAGCTGTTGGCATCTTTGCGAACCACTGTTTACCAGGGAAATGTTGTACTCCACTTACTACTCATGCTTTTTTAATTATTACGTCTTTAGCAAATTTTCAAATTTCTGAATTTTCTGAATTTGGCAGATTTTAGGTTCGGCGATGTGGCCATTTTGTAAATAAATTAAACGAACGAAATACTTTTATATTCTCTAAGGATAGCATAATAAAGCTCTTGTGAAAATTTTTGATAGAGTCAAATATTTTCTTAAAAAAAAAAAATACCAAATTTGGGTATCATTTTCAGGCTTCAGGTATGATTGATAATATTTTAAAATTAAATTAGCGTCGGTTATACTTGTTGGAAGGATTAAAGTAGATTATTTTATGCAGTACAAAATGTTTCATTAACTCAGCTACGATCAATTTCTTGCAAAGCCTCTTGCAATTGCGTGACAGCCTCGTGAAGGAAACACCATTTTATTTCTTAAGTTGTTACGAAAGAGGTAATTTAGATGTCTTAGTTCGAAATTGTAACTAAATCTACAGATGATTTTAATAATGAAATTTTATTTTAACTTGTGAAATATAATATGTTCAATATTAAGGAGAATTTCACATTTTTCCTCGTGTCGTTCGAAGGGTACGTCTGACCATAGACAGTCTTATTTCCCTTACACTTTGCTCCTCTTATTTGTGCACGCGTATAATTTCCAATATGTGTGTCACCTTAAAAATTTCTATAAATAAAAGCGATTTAGATTAGTAACAATTTAAAAAATCTACAAATTTTAATATTTAAATATTAAATGAATCTTTTGATATAGGTGTCACACTGGACGGTGCTTCAGAGGGTTCTCTTTGGTTTATCACACCGAAATGGTCGACACTACAATCTCCTAATGTTTGGGCGGACGCTGCTTCTCAAGTTTTCTATTCACTTGGCATCGGTTGTGGATCTTTGATCACTCTCTCCAGTTATAGTAACTTCAACAACAATTGTCACAGGCAAGTATGCAAGCACAAAGAGTTAACATTATTTAAAAAAAAAAAAAAAATGAAACAGATTTCGTTCCAAGAAAATTACGTTCTAATATAAATATGAAAATATCATATGAAAAAATACCCAAATACTAAATCAAAAAAATTTTGCAATTTATGAAAAATTCACACATTTCAGAGAAAAAATAATTTTGTCATATGTACGATTTGTTTTTCGTCGAAATTAAACGTGCAAGTAACGAAACGGTAGTGCATGAATATGAGAAGACTTTCCGGTTAAACTTCTCGATGTTTTCTGAGTAAACAGAGCAGCACGAGATGAGAATATCAGTTCTTTTGTGCTCCGTGAAAGCGGTGCTCTTTTCCATTTAATTTGTTTAATCGTTGATAATATCGATTCGAAGTAATAGCTTCAGCAAGTTTTAGCAGTTCGTAACGTGGTATCTCTTTATCAGCCGAACTTGTAACGCGCGAGAGTATTAACATTTTTCGTCCTCGGATAAAATCTAAAGCTCGCCTTTGTTATTGGCGCTTTTATTTTCACGAACGAATATTGTTTCTTGCACGATACTATTGTTCACTATTCACTTTTATATTTTCGGGGGTTACAGCACAATGCAAAAGTAATTCACCTTTGAAGCAATGTATCTCTGTCAATGAAACATTCTTCCTTTTTTTTTGTTTTTTTTTTTTTATCAATTCGTGCAATATCCACGTATCCCGAAACTTGAAATCATTCGAAGCTTTCGCAGGGGATTCGCAACGTTGAATGATGCACGTTAAGTGTTTTAGCCAGCTCTTGAAGTGCTTTCAGTCAATATTATTGTTTTTTTTTTTCAGGACACCGTTTTCAAATCAATGCTCTCGTCTGTCAGATCGAGATTTTTCACGTTAAGTCGGAACTGTCACGGAACGTCATGTATTAATATCGAAATATCCCACGAACGCGAATATTACATTTTATAAAAATACAATATCCCCCTCTCTTCTAAGGACACAATACGAGATACGCTCAAGTTAAAGTATTTTATTATGTCATCCTGAGAGCAGAAGATGTTTCTCAATAACTCCTCCGTTTTGTAACATTTTCGCTTCTAAAAAATTCCAGGAAATATCTGAAAGTTGCATTTACATCCTCTAGAAAAACAAAAATTGAAACTTTTCATTTAGTAGCTATCTACGAACAAAAATTCGCTAACTTTGCCTATTTTTAGACGCCTCGGGGTGTCGTACACCTTTAAAACCACGGAAACTTTCAGGATGACCTAATATCTCCCAGTTTCTTCTTCGGAATACACGAACGTTCGAATTGGAAAGCATTCGTGGACCTAGTATACAATAGTCATCCTAATTTATCAAACCAGTCCTTATGTCAATCCAATCTAAAAAATGTCAACGTGATCCAATTAAAATCTCTCGTCCAACGACAAAAAAGATAGCGATAATGCGTTGAGAATTTTCATAGGATCTTCAGGTGTGTGTACGCGAGTCGTCGAAGTTCTTGGCTCGAGCTTAAGCGTTTCAAACGAGAGCGTGTTCAAAGGACGGAATCCTGTGCTTGCGCGAACGAATTAACCGCGGCGAGTTTCTAATAATGTAATTCGCCGCGTAACGGTTAAACTACAGCTTCCGGGCTTACCGAGGTATTTTCGATGGCAAATCGGCCTGTTCTCATGCGATACACAGACGTTCACTACGCTTAAAGCGTCTGTCAGATATTTCATTTCGCGCGATACCGGTCGTAAGGCGAATCGTTCGAGCCATTCCTGTTTCTGAAACAGAGATCCGAGCTTTCGTCGGCACGCCAGGTATTCCACATGTTCGAAATATTGCTCCCACAGTCGTAATTATTATGATTATCCAACGTTGAAATTTCTCTCCTCCTCTCTCTCTCTCTCTCTCTCGTAGTCGTCGTCTCCTTATTAACGGTTGCAAGTCGCGGGGCGTTGTACAGGTTGTTCATCGCGTGTATAAATTATATCAGTGTAGCGTAAGTCGAACGAGCCAAGGCACCGTTGGTGGTAGTGGTGGAAACATAACTCGTCGCACCAGCTGGCCAAGTTTTACCGGTGGGCTATTAATTGTTGCTCCTTCGTTCTGTCATCTAACTGCTGCGTCTCGCCCCGTTATCCCGAGACACGTTTTATATTTCTTGCAAGACTTATGTCGCGTCGTTCGCAGAACCAGAATGTCGTCGTTCTCCCGCTACGATACGAATGTAAAACGCAACGCTACCTACCCAGCCACCTTTCGTTAACGTGATGCGTTCCATACCAGCTTTTATCGCGCTCGACGGTCGTTCGCGAAATATTTATACACGGTTTTAAGACGTCTCGGGTAAACGACACGGTTCGATACAAATGGCGAGTGAACTCTAATGTAATGACTCCTGTGGAGAATGAGTGTGGTGAAGGGGTGGCTTATCGATCATTTTGGCAATTTAATCGCGAGATTTTTAGGAGAAATGCAAATTTTCGTTTTTTAAGTGTAAATAATTGATTATTTGTCTTCTTTCCAGTTTATTCAGGTATCGTAACACAGGATTATCTTATCTTTAGGCTTCGCTGAAGGAATATTACAGAGAGCTCGTAAATAATATTTCCACCCATGTTTATTCAGACCCTTTTGTTCTTTTTTAACGAGTACTACATGGTCCTGTAGTTTAGAACAAGCTTCCAAAATTTAGCCTCAAAGTTCTTCACCACTCTGTATAATTCCAAGTCTTGTACGCGAGAAAACTTGTTAATCTACTTTAACTGTAGGAAACTGCCATTTCGCATAGAAAATGAAAAAGAGTGACGTGTTCAATTTAAAACTACGATCGATCTACTCTCCCATTTACAAAGAACACTATTCGAGTCGGTAACGCTGTTCTCTTTCTCGCACTTTTCAGAGACGCGATTTTCGTCACGCTCACGAACCTGCTCACGTCCATTTTCGCCGGTTTCGTGATCTTCTCGATCATGGGATTTCTCAGCCTTCAGATGGGCATTCCGATCGAGCAGGTGATCCAAAGCGGAACAGGACTTGCTTTTATCGCGTACCCGGAAGCCGTGGCACGGATGCCGTTGCCTAATCTCTGGGCGGTGCTGTTCTTCGTGATGCTGTTCATCCTCGGTATTGGTAGCCAGGTAAGTACATTAAACGGAAACGATGCTGGCGAAACTAACGAGATCGATCGACGGAATATTCTCAGCTGAGAGGTGGCGGTTCCTCGCGTTTCAAAAGCTCGTTAATAAATTAAGCACTTTTCGAGTTAAAAAGAACAGCCCGTGGAAGTCGGTCCGCGGCTGCGAAAACAAAGAGAGAAGCAAAGCTTGGAGGCTGGAATAAGAATGGGAAAGGGTTGACG